GCACATGAAGCATACAGTGACCTAAACGCTGCAGACGAACTGTTCATATGATTACTTGAAACAAAACATGCTACAATTATAACGATAACACTATTAAGGTGAGATCAGATATATCCGTCAGTTAGGTAATAAATAAGGTTAGCCTATTAAAGAAATAAAGTGTTAGAAGAGTGGAGCACTCCGCTAAGTGTTATTCAACATGTTAAGATGCAGACAAAATGTTAATAGTTTTATAATATTTGACTAAACTACGGTCTAATTAGAACTCGAAGCATTAATATAATTGACTTATAAGTCATAACAGACGTGCCTTTAAAAAAGGCTCATTTTAATTTAAACTATCGATGCTGATTCTGTTGGTTGTGATGATTTCATGAGTACACAAGTTGATGAATTAAATGCTTGTGAAGGCATCTGCGTTAATAATTACGGTTTTGAGAGCAAAGTCATTCGACGAAATATCAAGTTGCCCAGAACTCGAACCAGGTTGGTCCTGCCATTGTGTGGGATTGCTGCCCACACCATCGCACTTCCTCCGCCGAATACATTCACTTTCTGCATGCAGTTTTGCGCACGTCGATACTCCCACCACATCGCCTGGACTAAGCTAAAAAAGCATTAATCATTGCTAAACCACACTTTTGTTCATCCTAGGGAGGTCGTACAGTGTGGACATTGCACCACCTACACTGTAGCTACCTCTGACGTCGTAGTCGACTATGTTGGTCCATCAACATGGTATCTCCTTCAGACTGTCTTGATGGAAAACTTGCATCACGTGGCGGTTCCTCTCCACCTGGGCTGATATCCTACGCAAATATGGTTTGGCGGATGATGTAGAAGTTGCCATGGTGGTCATTTGCCGTAGGTATCCAGCCTGGGCGTAACGGTCTGGGGCTATGGCGGTCACAAGTGGATTACCGATCTGGGAAAGTCACGTGAAGTCCCTTCATGTTTCCAGCGACTCGTAATGGTACGTAGGGATACATGAAACGTCCTGGCTAAGGCCGACCTGGATTCATCCGTTTCCTTGTAACTGATGGCGTTGCTTCTTGCTGCTTCACTTCGTCGCGGCATGTTCCAACTCCCGTATAAAAACAAACAAACAAGAACATAAAACCCTGCACTTTCATAGGCCTTTTGTTTATGTTTCTCGTGTAGATCGCGCACATTTGTGATTTGCACATTTGCATTTTGGCGACGAGCAATGGTGATGTGTTTTGACCACCATATTGCATTAATATCCTGTATCGCTATGTGTATTGTTCACATAGTCAAAACAGTTGGCAACTCCCATGAGAGAGGTAAGAACATTCTGAGGAATGAACTTTCAGCACGTTGGTTTCCGATTCCTCCAGGTTTATGGCCTCATGTGAAAATGTCGTTTTGAATCAAGACACAGAACTTGTGTTGAACGATTTGTAACCATGGGGGAGTCTTGGGTTCACCACTATTACCCAGAGACAATAGGCAAAGGAGTAGAAAGATATAATATCTCCTCCGATTAAGAAGGTAAAGTATGTGCAATGTGATGGCTTTCTTGAATTGTAAATGAATCCTTCTGTGGACTACCTCCCTAAAGTTCAGATTGATTGAATGATTGTTTGTTGTCTAACGCCGCACTCAGCGGTCTGAAAAATAATCGAATCTGGACCACACACAATCCAGTAAGTGACATCATAGATCCACACATTTGGGATACGATGACATGCATCAACCAAGTCAGCGAGCCTGACCACCCGAACCCGTTTGTCGCCTCTTACGACAAATATAGTCGCCCTTTATTGCAAGCATGGTTACTGAAGACCTATTCTACGCCGGATCTTCACGGCTCCCTAAAGTTCAGATCACTAATGACCAATATTATACTATTCGATTTCGCATCTGCGTGTGAAGATCAAAGCTAAACGTGGTGGAAAACTCACAAAGGTGTGTAATTCCACGAGGACAATGTACCTCGTCGCACGTATGTCGTCGCGATGGCTTCAATGTATGATTGTGGCTTTGAACTTATTTAAGATCCTCCCTTCATCAGAATTGTCAGTCAGATTTCCACCTCTTCCCAAACTTGAAGAAAGAACTGTCTGGCAACTATTATGCAAATAGTGACGACGTCATTTCGGCTGTGGAGGACATCAGTTGGATCCAGGCACTCTACATCGTTGGCAGAAGTGTGTGGACCTCGGAGGGGTGAATGTTGAAAACTCCATCAACGCCGTCAATCACTGTCTCAGAACTGTTCCACCAACCCTGGCATTCTTTCTTGCTGATTTGCTATTAACTGGTTAACACATGCATGACAACTCACAGCCTTGAAAGGGTTCCTGAGGTTATTCTTTCCGCGAAGCAGGGTGCGTTCGGTCGATACTACGCTGCCTTTCCCAGACACTGTTAAGACTGAGAGTCCAGTTGCAGCTTTACGAATCTGAACTAAGACACTGATACAGTTTTTCTTGAGTAAAAACATTCATAACATTCAGATATAGAAATATGCCAGTTTTGAATTTTACCATTACAGTACAGCACGTCGAACGTAAACTACTCAATAATGAAAACACTTTCCCTTTCAATATGTTTAGGAAAGAAATGTCATACATTAAACTGTATATTAACACAACATAAAGACGAGCCATCAGCAAATGACAAATACCGCCAAATTCGAAAGAACAATTAATGAACTTACTATTCTTTAATTCCAACTTGATGAGAGGAGAAGTTCTGTCTAATCTGTCTGTCAGTATTTATTGAGCTATCAAAACAAAAAATACCATGGAATTGGGATTTGGAACTTTGTATTTCTTTGACAGGTACTTACCAGGTATGGACCGAGTTAAAGTCAAACTTGTTGCCATAGAAACGGCAAAAAATATAAATCCTAAACACTCTTAAGTTACTGTAGCAAAAGACATCATTTGACAACCTGGTAATTGTGTGTGCAAAGTGTCATGAAAGAATACCTATTCCACTTTAACCACTGAATATTACACGTGTCAAGTTTGGATGAACAATGTTGAATGGTTTGTTTAGTTCTGCTATTTCCATGGAAATAGGGGAAAATCAGATTAAAAGGCACTACTTCAGCCATTTGTTAATACATGTACCAAGTTTGGATGAAAAGACTTTCCGGGTTTAATTTGAAGTTGTTCTCGGAAACGAAATCCACCACCAATTTTAAAGTCAAAATTGTTTCCATGGAAATTGAGAAAAAATGAAAATGAGAAAATCATCCGCAAATCGAAAATGCACCACTTTAGGATCTGTTTGATAAATTTGCCAAATTTAGTTGAAATATATGAAACGGTTCCGGAAAGAAAATGATTACGGACGGACGAGACGACGACTATATCCCCCTGCATTAAGTGAGGTGAGGTGAAATTGGGTTTAACGTCGCGTCCAAGATTATTGCACTTATATAGCGACGTGCATGTACGTGTACGTGTATGTGTTTGTGTGGCCGCTTGTACTAGTCCGGACTGATGCCGATTTATAGTGCTAGCTCACTGAAATACCATGCCGCAGTTTAACATGAGTACCCAACTCAGACACAGTATACTGACTCCGAGCCGACTAGTCCCTGTTTTAGCCCCTTAATGCCGAGCGCCAGACAGGGTAAGAACAAGTACCACCTTTTAACGTATTTTGGTATGACGCGGCCGGGGATCGAACCCCGGACCTTCCGCCCTCCGGGCGGACGCTCTACCACTAGACCACGGAGGCGGTCCCCTGCATTAAGTTCCGTGGGGATAAAAAGCTTTGAGGTTAGCTGCCTTGCAAAATATAGGCTTAAGCTTCTTTCAATATGAGAATTTGTTTTGATTCAGCTGAGAGAGTACTCCTGTATATTGTTTTAACATCTGAAACTGTTCATAAAGAGATATATAAATTTTTGGAGAGTATTCAGTCACATTTGTCTAGGCGGTTATATATTATAAGGTATATATATATATATATATATATATATATATATATATATATATATACACAATTTCTACGTACAATAATAAAAAAGAATACTGTCCTTCAAAACATAATGGACAGCACTATGTCAGGAAATAATAGGAAATCCGAGAATTCGCGTTGGAGATTGAAGTATTGCCCCATCCAAAAAATGAATGGTGCTTATACTCTGATACTGTGAGGAGTTGAGAGACATTACGTTGTACACATAGTACTCTTTGAATAAGCTATGACCTGTAAAAGAAGCAACAAAATGCATTACATGAACTGAGGCCACCTGGTCGCGATGAAATGGAATTACCCCTCATGGTTACGCAGTTTCGTGTTATAATAGAAATATCATTACCAAAAGTTGAGAAAAGATATTATTCATACGTAAAGATGTGGTCGATAACCCTATCTGAATTAATTGGTTTTCCTTGTGTATGTCCCACTGATATCATTGTATGTGCGTAAAGATTAACCGAAAACTTTACTATAGTATCTCCTCATGATGCGAACAATTTACTTGCTTTTGCATGACGGTCGCCACCTATGGGGCAGGATACGCTCATCTTTTCGCGATCACCTGGTGTCATCACTATTTCATGGTGTTGCATGTACGCGTGTTCCTGATACAATCGGATTCGACTCTGCTTTTTGCAGACATTTCTTGGCTATGAAAAGGGAATTGTCGCTTTTATATACTTCAAATTCAGCAACTTAAGTGTACATGCATGTAATGTTCACAGTAAGTTACTTTTCCGATAACTCGGAAAAGGTATGGTTAGAAAAATACAGAACTTTACAGAACAGTAAGATGACGAGCTGTAACATTCTGTGCGAATTATACCTACATTACATGAGGTTGGAATCATGGATGAATGGTTACTTAATCTAGTCCTAACTAAACGAAACTTCACGCTCTTCTCAATTCAACTGACATGAGTTAACGTAATATTAAACATACATATTGTGAGCTAAACACACATACATGTCCAAACGTTACAATCTGACACATCTAAGTAGACGTAGCATCCTACGAAGGTATAACAGCAACCTACCTCGTGTAATGAAAGTCACTTAAAGAATCTGTTTGATTTCATTCCGGTAATAAACTTTAGTATGGAAGCCCGTGAACAGCACGCCGTTTGTCAATACGTCCCACCACTTCTCCTGCTATTGATCACGATATCGTCTTACTTTGTCCGTGGCATTAGCCAGGGACTCCAACAAACATGAGACTGCGTCACCAAGGTCCTCTGTAAGAGATCCTCCCTCAACCCTCACTGTTTGTTATTCTTGTCCGTGGTTTAAATGCTGTTGTGTTTGTCCAACCCGTCGCCTTATCTGCTGGGAAACAGTCACACGGCGCTGACTGGTGGCATCGGTGATTAATAAGGACTAATCTATGGCCTGCATGGATTATGACTCTCGGCCAATCATTGCCAAGGACAAAAGTGTCTCTTTAAGTTGATTTTATAAGGCTGTGTCATCGTTAGATCCTTCGCAACAGGCTTGATAACAAGACAAATGTTTTTGTTCGTGTGGTAGAACCTCAAGTTTCGTTTGCCTTGAGGATTTACCGATATTGTACTTAAGCGGTATAGAGACACGTCGGCTATTTTATGCTGCAGCTAAAAGCCGTCAATGCAAGAATTACTTGATGTATTTCACGTAGATAGATTCAATTGTGATATGTCAACCTGATGTAATCGACGATCGAACAACAGGTTTGTGTTACGTAAATCGATCGCCCTTATCCTTTGCCAAAACACTAAGCTTAATGGGTCGAAGTTGAAGAGTGAAATGACAGAAATAATATTTAACCCAGCTGTCGGGTCACGCTGCATATGCACTGTACTCACTAAACTGATGTTGACACCAAGTAAGGAAGGAAACATCTCAAGCAGTTAATCAAATCAGGGGTGACTAACGATATATACGAGTACCTTTTGACAACAGACCAGCTCTATCTTTCAAAAGGTTTCGACACAATAATAATTAAGTAATGTAACCTTTTCCTTAAGAGACGTTTCTGAAGAGAGCGTTTGTGGAGTAGACGGAAGGTCGGTGGTTCGATCCCCTGGTCGCGTCACCATATCAAAAGACCTTAGAAGTTGACACTTGTTGTTACCCTGCCTGACCCATTTAGAGGAAAAGACAGGAATTGATCGGCTTAATGTCTGAGTGGGGCACCCATGTTAAACAACGGTGCGGTATCTCTGCGGGCCAGGACTATAAAACCGGCATTAGTCCGGACTAGCACAAGCAAGCACCTCCCCTTCTCCTCCACATACGCGCACGAGCGTACATTTGTACATGCGCATCCCTATATACGTCTTATCTTGAACGCGAAGTTAAATCCCATTTCACCTCACCTCATCAATGTTCTTGAAATGTCTGTCATTATTCAGTTCGCGTTCACCATGAATCATTCTTTCAACTGTAGGCTGAGGTCCTCACTTGCGAAGAAAATCCGAACAGAAACGGTATAAATGGGTTCTTTATGTTACTTCAAAGGTTTAATATGAACAGTCAATATTGTGATCTGAATTGTGACATCCTAATCAGAAGTAAAAGCCATAAACGTCTCTGATCAAATTAAGTTAGTAGTTAATAACCCTAATAGTGCCTTAAACATCCGATAATGTACAGGCTTGGCAAAATAAATATCGATATTCCTGACTTAACGTGGCTCCGTGGCATCCATTGCAAACTTGGTTCCGAGCATTGCATTTGCCAGACGTTTTGAACCTTCTGGAAGCGCGTATGTCAGTCTTCAGTGGTCATCAGGGAATGTACTGGTGTTAGTATTTCACTCTGACATTTATGTCAAAAGAACTATTGGTTTTATTGTCGGTCACCCTCTCAGTGCTCCTGGCATGGCATCCTTAATGTATATTTGTAAGTACCAAAATTAACCCTGCCATTACAAATTACATATAGATATTTTATGCACTTTGAGAATACATTCTGTAGTCTTTCTATGGCTATACAATCTGGAAATTATCACGAAGGATGATTTGAAATATATATGTAAGTCGTTTTGTTAATACATGTAAGCTGCGTGCTTGGAAATAAGAAAGGGACATATTGCTTCTTAATACCAGGGTCAATGTTTTTGTAGTGATTAAATCATATCCATTATGAGATAAGCAATGTGTCTTCAGCTAAATAGGTAATTGTTAACCCTACAGAGTAAGGGCTTGACTTTGAATGAGCATGGACATGCGTACAGAAGTGTATACTGACTTGACCCCCCGGATGACAAGCCAAGTATTAATCCAGAATAATTATGCTTTCGTGATCACGAAGTATATATACTGAACCGCAAAAGAAACTTCACCATGGATAGACATATGAAAAACCGTATTTGTCCAAACACTGTAAACATACTTTAAAAAGATGAAACTTGGCAGAACTGATCATCAAGATTGAAATTAAAGTGTCAAATGTCCTTGAAGTGAAACACTAGTCTCTGTGTCAAGTGCATTGGTGACTGCCGTGCAACGCCGATACATGGAATGGATGAGGCGGTTGATGAAGGCCATAGGCAATTGAGCCCACACTCTGAGGAACGCCTGACGCAGTTCAGCTTCAGTTGTCGGCCTTGGTCGGACGTCATTCAGCCGTCCAACAGGTGCTCAATGGGATTTATAACGGGACTGTTCTAATGCCATTCTGCTGGAGGAAGTCTCTTGTTGCTCTCGCAGTGTGGGCACGGGCGTTATCATGCTGAAACTCGTGCTTGCGGCGACGTGCCGAATGAGTTATGGCGTGTGGTCTCAAGACTTGATCAATGTACCGAGCTGCTGTGACACCATTGCCTGTCCCTGGGCCGATGTTCTTGAAGACCACAGGGCCGACCCTCGGTGCAAGACCAAATCCACCCCACACCATGATGTTCGGACCACCCTACGAGTCTCTCTCAACATCACAACCATCCGAATAACGTTACCCACGGCGTCGCCAGACTCTCTCTCGCTGCCATCTGCTGTTGAGCTACAGTAACGGCTCTCGTCTGTGAAGAGGGCTCTTCTCTACTGCTGGTGGCGCCAATGATGGTGATGTGTTGCCCACTAAAGACGGTCACGGCGATGACGTGGTGTCAGAATGGGTCCTCGGTGTGGCCTGTGACAGTGGAGGTGTCTACTCGTCAATCGTCGACGCACGGTGTCCGCGCTAATGTGTCGCTGGTGTGTCCCTATGGTCTGTCGAGCAGTTTCCGCAGCAGTAACAAAGCGATCTTGAAGATGCTGTCGTACAATCTGACGATCCTGACGTCGGCAGGTGACCCTTGGTCTTCCACTACGTAGTCGGTCATCTGTAGTGTTGGTGGTCTGGTACAGTTGCTGGAGCCTGTATATGGTATTTACGTGGACTTGAAACGCATTGGCTACTTGCCGGGCGGTTTGTCCAGCTTGCAATCGTCCAAGGGCTTGGTGTCGCTGATTTCTTGTCAATCTTGGTATGTGGTAGCAATTCCATAACGAGTGAATGTTATCCGATCTGGGTGGATTTTTATAGGGCAAGAAATGGGGGAACGCATTAGCATTTCAATCTGCACGGAACTCACGTGCATCGGGTTACCATGGCCGTTGCCGTGATGCGTTTGGGCGATCGGTTTTATTGTCATTTGTAATGTTAAATTTTAGAAACTTTGACAAAATTAACCCAAATATTTAAAATGACAACTTAAATGCAATGTTACTTGGGGTGACGTTTCTTTTGCGGTTCAGTATATGTGTTTAACACCCAATACTATGAAGATTTATTGTAAATGTCAACACACGGACTGAATTAGTCCTTAAGGGAAACTCGGTTCCATGGCGTTCATTCCCCAGTCTAAGTGTACAATGTAAAGTGTTATTATTCGTATTATATGGGCTACTGTTTTCTTGAACCAAATGATTTGTTCCCAATTACACAGTCATTTTGCCTCAGGTTATACACTTTCGCTCGTCACGCCGAAGACCCGGGTTCGATTCCCGACATGGGTACAATGTGTGAAGCCCATTTTCTGGTGTCCCGCCGTGATATTGCTGGAATATTGCTAAAAGCGGCGTAAAACCATACTCACTCACTCACTCACTTAGGTTATACGCAGCCATCCCCCAAACAACAACCATCCACCTTTCTCCCTCGACCATAGGTAAATTTAGTTTGACGAGACAAACCAATGTTTGGTACAATTGGCAACGAGCCATGTCGTCTGGAATCCAAGAGGCACTCTCAACCTTTCTACATCCGTGAATTATATCCAATTCCCATTTGCCTTTGACTAACAGTGGATCCTGCTCCAATTAAGATTTTCAGACATGATCCAAAGCCAACATCTTAGTCATTGTTGGTATTTGTCATTACTAGTCATTTCGCGTTTGGCCCACACTTTGTATATTCTTCAAATTAAACCTTTAATCAATAACTCTGTGATATGTTTTGACACTGGCTAATTCACTGAGGTAATCTTTGCAAATAATCTGTTTCCGATTCAGATGTAATCGAAAGTCATCAATATGTGTCATTGCTACTGTTCGGAAACCAGGGAGCCAGTGTCAGTCGTATCAACCTTGTTTATGTTATCTCCACGCTATCAATTGTAGGCCAACTCGAATAACTGTCAGACTCGATCTGTCTTATATGTACTGTCTACGACATTATATATTGTATACGTCATCTGGGAAAAAGTCCGATTCAATATAACATTGGTCACTTGAACACTGACCTTCAAGTCTGTCCGTTTAATCGTAGCCTGATCGGTGCTCGCATATCTGGAATTTGCTTCTCATTCACGAAACCTTTTCGATATTATCGTTCGAAAACCAATCAAATTGAATCGTGTACACATGCAGGCTACTTTATTAATTCGATATAGTCCAATTAGTTATGTTATTTGAGAGTGAATATGTTTAGGTAATATATCGACACGTAGGTTTGAAAGGGAAGACAGGGGGGGCTAATGTGTTTACTCGGTAACAATTAGGGATTCGAACCAAGGATCCGGTAAGAAGTGCACTTCGACTGCACAGCCACTTGCGGCGCCTCAGACAAGAATCCATTCATACATTCGTGTGAGAAACTGGATACATCTTAATCATATAACTTTGGCACAAGTATATTTCTGATATCGATCGTTTTCGTAGGTTCTGATAGTAAGTATTCTATGGGGGTCTGTGACAGTTTCTTATTCTGGATTAATTAGAAATAACATAGTTTTATTTTGTTAGATTGTTGTTTAACACCGCACTCTGCAATAGTCCACCCTACTCATATCCAATTATCCCTTTGATACAACATAGGTCAACCACTATATACTGATATCTGAGACGTTATTATTGGATCGTGTTACCGACAAACACAGGTGTACGG